TTCCGTGTTTCCGTGTTTTCCTCGTGTTCCTCGAGAATTCCATGCCTGTTAGTTCTTTGTGTTTTGTTAATTTGGACTTTGTTAATAAACTTCCTGCACCAGAAAGAGTCTCTCCAGTACTGCATTTGGGTCCTGCCTGCTCCCTGCGATGCCCGCACATGACAGTGGCTTGTTTTAGTTTATACAAAGTGGGAGACTTTTGGCCCTTCTCCATCAGTCACTTCGGAGGAATTTCTTTTCAATTTTTATGAGTCAGCTATTATATTAGAAGAACAAAAAAGCAGGACAATGACATCAGAGGAAATGAACGCAGATCAAAAGTGTGGAGATATTTATGTGACTGAAGAGAGAATGAGATACTGAGAAAAGAACGAAGTGAAAAAGAGGGTGCACTGCGAGTGGCCGGTCTCAGCTTTCAGGAATGCATCTGGCCCGGGGTTGATGAGCAGTCAGCGTTGTGCGGTCACAAGAGCTCCCGCCCTCTTTCTGGGGCCCCGGGGAAGAAAGTGGGGTAAGAAGGGGAAACAGGGCGTCCTGAGCCAGGGGTTTGACTGCCTGAGATGGAGTGTGTTCAGCTCAGACGGGACAGTCTGACTAGTCTGGGGTTAGTGTATGTGTGAGGTTGGCCCAGTGTGTGTGCAGCACAGCCATAGCTGTTCTTTTGCTGTCTGCTGGCAGAGGATGGTGAAAGTGATGGATATGACAGGGTGAGTGAAGCTGCTGAATCAATCTACAGATGGGGACATTCTGCAGAAATGTAGACTTCATGAAGAGTTTCCAACCCTCGCTGCCAGAAATATAAAGTTTCGCCAGATTAAACAATTAACCGTGGCTTTTCTTTTAAAAATAGAGCCGGCGTCTGCTTATTCTACAATGATTTTGGGTGTCATGTTTTCAAAGGGGAGGAAGTCATCAGACAGGACGAATGAATAGACTGGTGGACGATGGTAGAGATCGTTTAAAGTTCGGATTTACACATGATTACACATTGATTTCACAAACAGAATTCCATAGGATCATATTATTCACCTAAGTCATGTGATCAGTCTTTAAGTCATGAGTAATAAAGTGATGTGTTCACACAGACAGATATCAATCACATGTTAACTGGTGAAAACTATTTGTGACAATAGTGTTAGTGAAAGGGTGTAGACGTGCTGTTCAAACCCAGAGAAGAAGTGAGTTAGAGGGGCTAATAAGATTAGCTTAGCTTAGCCTCCATCAAGGCTGACTGAATTGGAGTTAGTAAATAAACATTTCTTGTTGTCACTTAACTCAATCTGAGGATAATTTCAGGTGAGAATGTTTTTTATGAGCAGTATGTATTCAAGGTTTGTTCAAAATGTTGTAATAGGGTTTTTTATAGCGCCACACAACAGTGGGTCGCTCTGTGCTATATTTTACCACAGGGATAATCACCTCAACTTTCTTCCTGTGCTGAGTGACTTTCTACTATAAAGTAGGCATTCACTATATGGCAAAAAAAAATAATAAAAATAACAAAACAGAAAGAGTGAAAGACAATATTAACCAAAGACTAAAATGGGGGATCTAGAGCGCCGAACTTTTCCACTTTTCCACTTAAGAATAGAGTTCATCAAAAGTTGTGTGTTTTTGTGTGTACTCACAGTAGGCACAGTGCGTAGGCTCCTGGCACAGACTCACTGTCTCTCACTAGGTAGCTGCCATCCCTCCCTGCTCGTGCCAGCAAGTCCTCAGCGTGCACACGGCTGATGTCACGATGATACCATGCCGCCGTAGCCATGACAATCAAAGGTCAGAGGTGGGTTGGTAAAGGTCGTCCACATCAGACGATGAACCTGACATAACACTGTGTCTCAAGCAGGAAGATGCTCCGTCAAGTCGTCAGCAACAGAAAGTGCTGAGCGGTAACTTAGGTGTTTATGTTTCCCATCGTCATCTTCAAAGAGGAACAGAGAATCCCAGGTCAGTTCCATGTGTCCTCATAGTTCCTTTAGGATCACACATCCTGTGACATACAGGAAGTAAAAAGCATCCAGGTGATGGCGTGCTCGGTGACAACTCCCCGCTCCAGTCTAGATTTCTGATCATACAGACTCTTCTCAGCTTTCGGTTGCTAATTGCTGCGCCCTGGTTGCTGTGTTTCTCCAACAAACACAGACCATCACAGCGGTTTGAAACCAGCACTAGCTGCGGAGTTTGAATGAAGTATCCAAGCCTGAGGCGGTGACGGTGCATCTAGATCAACCACAAACACAAGCCCTCCTCTTGTCCCAAAACAAAAGCCCCACATGCAGACAACAGGCAGAGAAAGAGCAAGAAGGCAAAACAAACAAACGGAGCTGCACACACACAGGACACCCACACACGTACGGCACAGACAGAAACATACGAGATGGAACTCAGTCAGCACTAAAACCAGACAGGCATGCAACAGAAAGCAGACTAATTCAAATGATTTCTCAGCTCTGTTGCCATATAAGGGAAAAGGAACACCCTCTGAGAGGAGTTCAGCTGATGACTGCAGTTGTCTTTGGTTCTTCCAGGCCCAGATTCCATTCAGACGGTTCCTGGTGGGTCTCGGGGTTAATCCGAGAATCTTGTTTTCCTCCCCAGGTGTTTGTTCCTTGTCAGAAGTGTCCTGTCCACACTTGTGGGATCTCCAGCGTTTCTTCAGAGCGCTGTCAGAGCACAGAGGGAGGGTGGGTGCAGAGGACAACCCCGTACGAGCGCAGCACAGACAGAGGAAGTGACTCGACATTCCAGATGGCGGACATAGCCAGGAGAATTCTTGTGAAGGGCTCAACTTCACCACCAGTGTGTAAAACAGCAATGGTTTCCTTTCTCTCCCCCCGTCTCCCCTCCCTTTTATTTTCTTCTTCCTTCCTCAGACTCTGCCCAGTCTCCTTCTCCTAAAAATAGAACTCCCCATGCCATTCCTCAGTTTCTCCCTTGGTTTTCTTATAGTTTTATTATGTCATTTTGATATTCAATGTCTCGGTTCCGAGCCGACACACACTCCTCTCCCCAGTCCGCCTCACTCTGCTGTATGTCTCTGTGTACACTCCCTAAACTTCCCACCCTCTCTCGCTCACTCAGCCCTCTCAGTCTCCATATGGTTATGATCATCCCTAACTTTCTTATTTTTGCTCTCCTCAGAACCATCGCCCATCACTCAGCCCTCCCACTTCCCGCCCCCTCCATTAGTTGGAGCATGTTCATCTCTGGGAAGTTGTTTGGTCCCAAATTTGCTGCCCTGCCTCTCGCTACACCGCAAAAATGTGCCGATCACCAAACGCAGACCCCATAAAATAAACAGATACAGCCGTGACCAATGGGTGATTCTTCTTCATGTTTCCCTAATCACTTCCTCGTGCTTTTTTCTGCATGATTTTTAAAAAATGCAGCAGCATACCTCTGTGACTGTGTGGTGGTATTTGAGGCAACTGCAAGAGATACTGAAAAGGAGAAAACCGACAGAAAAACGTTATCATACGGTTGGCAATAACTTCAAATATCTCATTTAGTATTTACCATTCATTCATTGGATGGTGAGCTAAGATACGTCATTAGACAAGGACTGTGTACAACCTGGACTGTTCTCCAGTCCATCACTGGCCCACATGTTGAGCCACAGGTGGGGCCACCTCTCCATGTCCCCTGGCTGAGCAGCCTGGCTTCCCTGTGGAGTGGAGCTTTGACGTATTTCCTTTTTTCGTTTTCTACAAATCTCCATTGTCAGTACTCTTCCTGTTTGTTCATGTTCCAATGTTTAGCATTTAAAAGAATGTGAGAGGTGGACATGTTATCTGTTCTCTTATTGACTTGACTCCGGGTCATGTTGGCTGACTCTTAACAATGTCTTGGCAGCTTAGACCGGCGCATAACTGGAGTACACAGGAAAAATACTCTGATACCATGCCATATCTGGATCATGATAAAATGTCCCCAATTTGGGGTGGGTCATGACCACCACTGTTTCATCATCCTTCAGAAGAAAAATGAAGTTTGTTTGTTTTGTTGACAGCCATATTAGCGTCTCATCACATGACAGTGTAATGTTTAAAGTTTAGGTTTTATTTTATTGTTCACATTTCACCCTAATGTTTTCTTTTTCACTTTTCTACCTCAGCGTTTACATTTCTTGCATTACAATTGCAGTTTCTTGTGTGTGTATTGTGAACTATTGTGTACACCATTTTTACACTCTTTTTAAAATGTATATTTGATTCTGTTTAACAAACTCTCCCCTTTCCTGCTCTGCTGTAAAAACAAATCCCCAGTGATTGAACTGTTGACTTTAAACACAAACGGCAAACAAGGTTATTCTTTTCTCTTCTATTCAATGCTATTCTATTGCATACTATTCTTATCTATTCTATTACATTATGTTCTATGACTGGCCGTGTTGAGCAACAAACAGATTACAAAATCGCTAAACCGTGCTTATGACACGCAGGTGTTTCTATACAGAGCACGCTGTTAGCCTTCTATATATAGTTTTTGTTCAAAATGGCTCCAGATTAACTCTAAGGAGATTGTGTATGTGTGTGTCTGTGTGTGTGTGCGTGTCTTGGGTGTGTGTGTTATTTAGGTTTTAGCCCATTCTTACTTCAATACATGCGAATGACCTTTTCCTTTATATTAAATAATAATAAATATTATATGAAATAGGTTCCTGATAATGTGGGTTTCAGTGGGCTTGACTTTAACCTTTAAACTCCTTCCTTCTTCTGCTCAGTGCAGCGTAGAGGCTCTGTATCAGAATGACTGTGTTTTTCACATAAGACAGGATGCAGAAAAACAGAAGCAATCGGTTTTGTTTTTATTTTATGTAAATTTTAACGTTTCTCTTCTGGGGAACTTTTTATTCCAAGCAGTGCTGTACCAAAGCTTTTACAAAACAAACTTTATTAAAAGTTAATCTCTCAAGTTCATGTTCCTAAATAATGATGATAATGTAAAGGTTGTTAAATCTGTTAAGGTTTGTTACTCTGTATTTCTGTCTCAACTCATGATCCGGACCAGTGAAGTCGATCAGTCGGAGCAGCTTTAAACAGCTCAGTCTTGACTCTGGTCGGACAGATAAAGGAAGGCAACCTTCAGTCAATTATCTTGGACTGCCAAGGTGTTAGAATCCGTGGGAATCCATCAATCCACACACCCTCATTAATCAATCAATTACAGTTGATTTCAGTGGTGTGGAAATCCTCCTGATCCACCGCCACAGGGATTGACCTCTTCAGTCTTCAGAACTGTCTATGGATTACAACACGACACACAACCCACAACAACCCACAGTAAAAGACTCATTTATAAAAAAGAGTTCAAAGAATTCTCAATGGTGCAATCAAAAGGTAGATTGTAGATTTTTTGTATAGACAAAGTTTTCATAGGTGTAATGCCTGACAGAATATACAGTATATATACATATATATTTGAGATTTTCTTTCCTATTTGGCATCAACGAGACCTCTGTGGAAAACAACCTGGAACTGATCACAAAGCCAACAATGAAAACACTGCAGTCAGTCTGTGCCTGGTGGAGAGGCCATCTGTCGCTCATGAACAAAATCCAGCTAATACCACTGGACTCATCTCCAAGCAACAGGAAGGAATGAATCCAAACAGTGCATATCAGTTTCCAATTTAAAAAAAGATCAGATCGAAAATGTTTCCTTTTTTGATGTTTTTTGAAGATTGTTCTTGCTTTAAGGTTTTGCTATATCTATACAGACAGCTACAGACAGCTACAGACAGCTACTTGTTGATTCTCAGACAAACGCCCATTAAATTATTCACTGCCGTCCTCCTACAGATCAGAGCGAACAACGTTCAGGTCTAAGCCTGTTTACATTTGACTTTAAACGTGTCTCACCCTCTACGGTAATCATACCATGGTGTGTTTGCATGGTTACATACAGTACACATTATTTTTACGATAATCCTCTGAGCTCAAACAGCAGCTATTTATATTAATCTGATTTGAAGGACTTGACAGGGATGGAAGGGTCGCAGCATAAAAACTAAGAGGAGAGACAGTGATTCGCAGCCACACTGTGAACAGCCACGGATTAGACTGTAGGAGGCAGCTAAGGAGCTTCATTGTCAGAACAGAGTCCAGGAGGTGAGTTGCTCCGCTTTTTAACCAGCGACACATTACCTAAAGTTAATGTATCCTTATATTTGGCCCCTACAGCGGGTCATTTAGGACTTTAAAAGACCATGCTTAAAAATCTTATCAGTGTATGTAATAGATGGAAAATAGAAACAACATCCTTTAAATACAAGGAGGATTCAAATTTTACAATGTAGTTATTTTATATGGAAAATAATGTCTTCACTGATCATAGACTGATTATAGAGTGTAACCTTTTTGATTGGTCGTCTAATTTTTTGTTTTCATTTATTTCCAAGGTTTCACCAACATGTCAAAGTGAGTAAACATAATTGTAAATATATATATAAACTTGACAATCTTATATTTTATGTTAAATAAATATATAGTTAAATATACAGTCTTATCAGTAATATTGTCTTGAGTTGGTTTTTTTTTTTTTTGTCCAGTGATGTCTCATCCATTTTAACAGGAGCAGCTGATCGTTATTCATCTATAAAATTATGTTTAATTAAATACGATTTAACTGCTATTTTATTAAACCACAGAAACAAATTCCATCAGCTAAAGTGTAAATAAATAAAGTATAAATAACTAGCTTTACCATGCCTTTGTGTGTGTTTCTGTGTGTGTATGGCACCCCTAAAGTGGACAACAGATTCACTGAAGTTTCATTTCTTCCACTTTTTTAAGGGTATTCAAGAAAACCAGTGGCAACGGACATGTGAGTGGCCTTTCTAATGTAGTTATTACAGGGCTCCCTCTGGGCTTCAGGGAGGAGTACACTTTGTATGTGGCTCCTCCAGCTCCCAGAAATAGCTTTTAAACTCTTTTAACCTCAGAAAAAGCAGTGACCGATTCTGTTTTTTTTTTTCCTTTTCTCCCAGATTGCACTGTACTTGGGGAAGAGAGACTTTGTGGACAATGTGGATTCAGTGGAAGTCGTTGGTGTGTGGCTCTGTGTGTGTGTGATTTGCATCTATACATGCATCCATGAGCATCTCTTTGAATCCTAACACTGATGGTCTTTACAGATGGTGTGGTTAAAGTGGATCCTTCAGGCCTGAATGGCAGAAATGGTAATTCTCTCACCTGCCTTTCTGACCTGTATCTGTTCTCAGTTGATTCAAACTCATCTGCAACACTTCCTGTTGTAGTGTTCGTTTACCTGGCTTGTGCCTTCCGTTATGGAAGTGAGGACCTGGACGTCATTGGCCTGTCCTTCAGGAGAGACATCTGGATACAACGTGTGCAGGTGTATCCACCAACAGGTGGAAACACAACCACATCACCAATGCAGGAATCACTCATGAAGAAAGTCGGAGAACAAGGACATCCCTTCTCCTTCCAGGTGAGAATCCACAAATCCATCCTGCATTCAAAAATATTAAATCACTTCTAACATTTAAGTGATTTCACGGTCGTGTCTACTGATCATAAATGTATTTTTTTAAGTCTAATATTAACTGTGCCTGTGTTTTGTTATTCATCACTGATTCTTGGTAGATTCCACCCAATCTTCCCTGCTCCGTTGCCTTGCAGCCAGGGACAAACGACAGTGGCAAGGTAGGAATAGGCTCCATGTTTATGGGTTCTTTCTTTTATTTTTTGTCCTCACATAGAAAATGTCACCGGTTTCAACTGATTATTTATTATGTTTTGTTCTGTCTGCAGGCCTGTGGTGTGGACTTTGAGGTTAAAGCGTACCTGGCCAACGCAGCTGACAACGCAAATGAAGTCATTGAAAAGAAGTATGTAGAAATAATTCAACATACAGAACAACAAAGTGGGGAGTGGGGAGATTGTTTTTGAATTATTTTTGGTTTTTTAAATGCAAAACATATGACATTATACACAGAGACAGCTTTGTTCCAATAACGCATCATTTTTGCAACTGAAAACAGAACAGTAACAGTGTTAAACGGAACAATAATTCTCACTGTTCCACTCTGCTTACATAACAGTACAGTCAAGCCGAAGTGAAAGCCCAGTGCTGTCAGTCATGTGTCATAATTGTCAATTGTACTGAAGAAGAACAAAAAACAACAGAACAAAAAATGTCAAAAATCAAATCATGTTTTTTTTCTAACCCCGTTCTTAGGGACACTTGTCGTCTGATGATTCGTAAAATACAGTTTGCTCCTGTTAACAACAAACCTGGAGCGAAGGCTGAGATTAGTAAACAGTTCATGATGACGGACAAACCAGTTCACCTGGAGGCTTCTCTGGAAAAAGAGGTAAAAAAAAAAGTGATTTTCAGCAAAACACAGTATATCATCATACTACATAACTTCTTTTAGGGTGTCTAATGGAAGACTATGTTACTATTTTTAGATTTACTACCACGGAGATCCAATTAGTGTAAACGTAAAGATCAACAATGAAACCGCAAAGGTGGTGAAGAAAATCAAAATCACAGGTAAGAAAAACTGAGGTCTAAAAATAATCGATGTTGATTAAAATATGTGTAATTCATTATGTTTGTTCTGTAATTTTACGTTTTACTAAACCACAGTTGTTTTGTCTTAGTTGAGCAGCTGACAAACGTGATCCTCTACTCATCTGACACTTACACCAAGGCAGTCTGCACCGAGGAGTTTGCGTAAGACTTTCTTTGAATTAGAATAGCTGTGTTAATTATAATGTGGATATAAAGCTCAGATATAAACTGACAGAGCACCATACATAGATTGAAGTTCATTTATGTCTCTACATTTCCTACAGGGAGACAATAAACGCCAATTCAACATTTGAGAAGTCCTTTAAAATAAAACCCATGCTCTCCAGCAACAAAGACAAGCACGGTATAGCAGTGGACGGACGGCTAAAAGACGAGGACACCAACCTGGCCTCCACAACCCTGTAAGGCGCTTTTATCAACACGGCTTAGAAACAGCCTGGGATAAGTTCATCCAATTACTCTAGTGGTGTTTGGCAGCAGCACAGACTTAACACTTTGTCATCCATTCACCGTGTCTCAGACCAAAACCCCAAAGCTCTTTAAAGGAAACTATTCCTGTCACTTCACAGGAGTCAAGGAGATAAGGAGATGCAGGGAATCATCATTTCCTATAAAGTCAAGGTCAATCTCATGGTGTCTGGTGGAGGGTATGTGTTGTCTAAAGTTAAAACATTCGATCACTATCCACTGGTATTCACTTTATTAGACTAACTGCTTGTGGTTTTTTCTTAACTCCGAAGCCTGCTGGGAGGCCTAACAGCAAGGTGAGATTTTTGTTTTTTTAATATTTCATTATTTAATATTTATATAAAAAGAGATACAAAATACCAATTTAGTCAGAATCTACTGATTATACTTGTTTTAATTTTCAGTGATGTGACTGTGGAGCTCCCCTTGACTCTGATGTCCCCCAAACCTGCAGGTGAATGCTGTTGTTTATTATGAAAAATGTCACTGTAATGATGCAGTAAATTATATTTGTACATATATTTTTTTTAATCGTTGTTGTCTTGTGTTGTCTTTTTACACATTTCTTTGCACTTCACCACTGTCCAACCAACAGAAGTGTAAGTATCACTGGCTGTTAGCAGCACTCTTTAACCTGTGGTTGTCATGTTTATGTCACACTGCTGACCCATGTTTTTCTGTGTGTTTTGCCATTAAACAAATAACAGAAAATTGGATTGAGGGCCTGTTTAGATCAGGTGAGGTCCTTTGCAGCTTTACAACTTTAAAAATGCAGTAGTATCTGTCTGTATTAATGGGATTTTAAAGTTATTGATAACAATAACTAATAAAAACCTGAACTGCTGCTAAAAGTATAATAATTTTTTTTTTTTTTTCATACCAGCAGGACGGTCATCACCATACAGCCCAATCAAGGATAAGACGATCTGTGGAAGAAGATCAGACAAATCATAATGGAATTCATTAGCAAAGAAGTGAAACACCAGGTGTCACTAACTTCACACTAACTGTTCTTATTAAACTTGCACATACAAAGTTCTAGTCACAGCCACTGGTAGTGTGAAATCTCTCAGTGTGAGTGGAGTGTTGTCATAGCAGGAAAGACAGCACATATACACATATACAGTACATAGGGAATTGTTGTCACACGCTATCCCACTAAATAAATATAAAATGATTTTCTTTTTATGTGTAATCATTAATTATTAATTAGTAGAGTTTTATTTCATGTTTTGTCCTTATTAATGTGTTATTATGGCCAATGAATATTGGTAATAAATGTGGGATAATCATCCTGCCAGACATACTTCACCCAGGTCAATCTCCATTGGCAGGGAAAGGAAATAAACACTCTGTTTCCTTATATTGTCTCTGATTTGTCCATTCTGTTACAGTACAGAGGTCTCAACTGGGACTGGGGGTCCGTGGGCCTCAGGGCATCTGTCAAAAAAAACAAACCATATATACTTTGCTCTGTGTTAGAGAAACCTTAGCTCACATACTCACAACTCCGGTATTTTAATTCTAATTAAAACATACAATTAAGTGATTGTCTATTATCTTATTATTTACTACTATCTATTATATGCCAGTGAAAATCAAAGTTGTTGTGGGATTACAAATTAGTTTATCGTTACAAATGTAGGCCAAGGACAGCCAAGGATGACTGCAGGCTATAGTCTAAAGAGAGGTATTTTGATGAACCACTCTCTCTCACTCTCCCTATTCTAACCACAGAGTACAATGCAATCAGTGATCATTGTGATCTCAATAGACTGTTGCCACGCCTCCTCCACCTCCTTTGACAATTTGTCCCTCATCATTGCAGACATGATGGGGCTCAAAGCTGGTCCTCGATGTATCCCTACCCCTTCTCTAAACCCATCTGTTACTCTGACTGCACATGTCAACGTTGATTTAAAGATGCACCTTTAAACGACATGCAATTTAGCTGATATTACATCAACAAAGTAAACAATTGGATGGTTTACTCACAAACTGTAGAAGGAGTGGTTAAAAAATATATGCATTTAAAGGCTGTAAAACCTTTGTCTTTGATTATTACAATTATATGCTATGATAGGCTATGCCACATACTGACAGAGGTGGGAGACTGAACGCACGGTCGTGGTCATGTCCAGCACTTTCACCTACCTTACAACCACCCTTGCCGTTCTCTTTCAGAGTCACAGATCCTAACTTGGCACCCTATAACATATGCTTGGTCAAAAACCACAAACACACAATGCTGCTTTTTTTGACCTTCTCTGTATTTTTGTATGAGCACTCTCAAAGCCAAAATTACATCTGTGGTACTCTGTTGGCATAAAATCAAACAATTGCTTTGAGACCATAACCTCTAGCCTATGCTGGAAAAAGCTCTTTTCGCAACATTCACATTGTTTTAGATCAACTTTAGTAGCAGTGCACATAATCTTGTATCTAAAACTCACACGAGTGTACTTCTCTTTAATCAGACGTGTTTATAGTCACCGAGGTGTACAACTTGGTCATAAAGTCCACTGCCTCCTATACTGTATATACCTCGATTCTCTTCAAAGCGGCTTTCTTCCTTCTGACTCATCCCTCCACTTTATGATTTGTCATATTTTATTTGTCACCCTCTCTCTCTCTCCCTCTCTCATTATCATGAAGTACAGTATTCATACTCTCATTCACACCTATAATAATTCAGAGTGAACATCTAACCCAACCATAAATGTTTTATCAGTATATTTAGGTCGATATGATTACTCTAAAGCTATTCACGTAAATAGTAAAAGAAATAATAAAAAAAAATGGTTCAACCGTTAATTATTAAATTAAATTAATACAATAGACATGGAAATAATCGAACATTAGAGCAAAACGTATGTGATACTATGAACACTTAATGTTATTATAAATAAAATCATAACTAATAACTAATAACATAACTAACTTAGTATAGTAAACATGTCTTAATATAATATTAAAATGCAAAAATAACATCGTTTTGTTTTTTACATCGTTTTTGCTTGTACTAAAGTCTGCCTCTTGGTTGTGCTGTTTCACTCGTTGACTGTTAAGAAAACAATAGCGCTGCCCTGTGTTGGAGAATACGCTGTTCTCTCCACTTCAAGTCCAGACACTTGGCATCTATAGACAAGTTAGCGACGTAGCCGCTTAATTTTCCGGACAAAATGTCAACCACGACCGGCGGTGGGGAGTTCGGGAACCCTCTACGGAAGTTTAAGCTCGTCTTTCTGGGTGAACAAAGTGGTAAGATTGACAATGAGTATTTTATGTTACAGTTTTGGGTGTGATGTAGGACAGTTAGCGGCTAATGTTAGCTAATAGCAAGATGTTAGCTGTCAGGACTAAGGAATTTACCAGACCATGACAGTCTGTGATATTGCAAAGCGAAGAAACAATATTTTTTATTTTAAAATTGTGTGTTTTATTACAGACATTAAGTAAAATACAAATGGCATTCCATTTGTCTCTTTAACGATGATGTCATTCTACTGCTAGCTAACGTTTAACCCCAAAACTGGCGTTACATGTTTTATACGTCCATATTTATTAAAATTCAAGGTACACACAATGACATTTAACATTTATTTCCACCTTGATTTGTTGGTATAGTCATATAAAGCAATGGGTTTTTAGTTGGGTGTACAAATTTTATATTTCTCGATTGTCACGAAGCCTGGCTAACTATCTTTAGGTAGCAGTTAGCAGTAGTTAGACTAGTGGAAGGCACTAGAGACAATTAAACTGATATTTATTTTCCAAGTTTATTAAAGGAGACCCATTTCGGGGGGTTGTGTTGTTTAAACATGTACATAGCAGAAACAATTCTCCTTGCCGGCGTACCATCATTAGCTGTTAGCCCCTAATGGCAGCATCATGCAAAGCCACGTCGGCCCGTGGCTTCAGACCAGTCGTCATGCTGTAAAACAGATGTCCCTTTTACATAACTTGGCAAAGACTGCTTCTGTAAGTAGGTTAATTTTAGATTACATTTGCTGCTGCGGCAGCGAGGCGTTGTTTTTCTTATTCATGATACTAACTAGTCAAATGAAGCCATTTTCATGATCCGAGTTGTGAGGCTCCACCCATACTGCCAGCTCAGCGTGTGGGTCCAGCAGTCCACATTACAACAGTGAAAACAGCAGTGGACTCACCACGTCATTGCCACTGAGTCATAATGATTTTTTTTTCTGTCATTAACACGAAGGTTAAAGTGATACAAGCATGCATTTAATAGTTTTAAAAAAAACTGTATTTTCATGTCTGTCTATCAAAACTGCATTTAAGTTGCTGTTGTTGTGTTTGAACAGTTGGGAAGACCTCGCTCATCACCAGGTTTATGTATGACAGTTTTGACAACACTTATCAGGTAATGAAATCTGATTTTTGGCTGTGAATTGATTTGCAATGTACATACAGATTCTGCGTGACATGTTGGAAAGGTTTTCTCCAGCTACTCTGGTTTTCTCTCACAGTCCAAAACATGAAATATTAAGATTATTTGCACACTCTTAATTAACTACAGGTTTGAATGTGAGTGTCCATAGATGTTTGTCTCTATGTAGCCCTTTGATGGACTGGTCACCTGTCCAGACTTGCCCAGGCACAAAACAGCTGGGATTCCAACTTCAGTTCCCCAAGATTCTTTAAAAAAATAAGCAACAAATGAAAATGTTTTTTTAGTTTGGAGCATACTCTGATGTAATTTAACACATCATTATCGTCTTAAAAATTAATTTGTTATTAATGATGCCCTCGTGAAGGTTTGTTACCCCAGAATGACGCTAGTACGACAGTATTAACATCAGGAGCTGCTATGTTTTATGACCCAGTTTTTGCTGATTAGTGTCAGTTTTGTGTCAGTGGATCATCTTACATGATTGTAGATCATCTAACTTTGGTAGCTAAATAGTTTGATAAAATATATCTAAATGTTTTAACTCTATATACTTCTATGATTTTAACATTGTGCTTGTTACAGTCACTCATTAGAATGCTTTTATTACAGGCAACAATTGGGATTGACTTTTTGTCAAAAACCATGTATCTAGAGGATCGCACGGTAAGTACTTTATTTTTACTCCTAATGTCGCTGTTTTCATTTTTGTACATCCTAGTTTCGATGATTTCTCTTAGCATGTATTTGCTTTGATGTAGTAGCCACCATTTAGTTTCCTGCCATCATTTGTAGATAATGTTTTTATTTTTCTCATTAATTTTGTCGGACATGTGTTCATATTATTTTTAGTTCCCGCTGCTTTCATTTTCATTCAAACCTTTTTTGTTTTCCCTCCATCCCTTGGCCGGGTCATGAACTCCCCTCCCTACATGCTCATCCCTAAATTACCACACTCATTTTGCCACTGGCCACAGATTCGGCTACAACTCTGGGACACAGCCGGACAGGAACGCTTCCGCAGCCTCATCCCCAGTTACATTCGCGACTCAGCTGCTGCTGTGGTGGTTTATGATATAGCCAGTAGGTATCGCAGCCTTGTTTCACTGTGTGGCCCTTCACTTAATACAAACATGGGCATAACTGAGCATTTACTAGCCAGGCAAACCCCAATGGACATCATCATTATGACACATTTGCCACTGTGTGAGTATTAGAAATTGTGATGTTTCCAGAGGGGGAGGTCTGTGCTTCATAAATGCTGTCAAAGTTGAAGCTGCAAGCAATAATAATAATAATCTTCCTGTCTCGTCTCTGCATAAAAAACCTCAGTGATTCAGCATGGTCTCCTTTTATTTAAATAACACTGGTCCTGTCTCACCCTGCTGACTTCCTCTATTCAAGCACATCTTCATCATCATCTGCTGCATGGCTGGCACATCCTTTATTTCTTGTTGTGCATCTCTCTCTATCTTATCGCCACGTTCTTGTCTTGTGTTTTCTCTTTCACCGTTAAAATCCTCAGGTCCGACTCCAGCTCTGGGACACTGCTGGACAGGAGCGTTTTCGTAGCCTAATTCCCAGCTACATCCGTGACTCTACCATTGCTGTGGTTGTTTATGACATCACCAGTGAGTCAGGGCTGTATTTTATTAGTTGGGGGTCTTTAGCAGTTAGAATGAATTTACTCAAACCTCTCTGTAAACACTTGTTTTCCTGTCTTAGGCTTTTCTTTTTAATACTTTCTCTCACCAACATGGCAATGAGCTTTTCTAATAATATATGCTTGACCTCACTAATTAAGTCAGTAACAGTTTTTTTGTTACTGCTGTCGCACTCTGTAACCTCAGCTAACAAAGCATATGTGTTGTTACAACAGAGCCGGGTAGTGCAGACTAATGAGTTTCTTTTATTCTCCACAGATCTAAATTCATTCCAGCAAACCTCAAAGTGGATCGATGATGTCAGAACAGAGCGAGGAAGTGATGTCATTATTATGCTTGTTGGAAACAAAACAGACTTGGCGGATAAAAGGTACATGGTTGTGTGAGATGTATGCATAAATAAATTTGACAATGAAGACATAGACAAAGCTGGGACACTTTGTTAAAATGCAATTAATTATATGGTCAGTGTCCACCCTCTGACCTTTACCCATTGAGATTCCGCTGATTTTGAAAAGGTCACAGAACACAGATTTGTTTTGTTCTCTTGCCCTAAAAACATTGTTTTAAAATTGTTTAATAAATTTCAGGACATAGAAGGAAACCAAGACCTGTCCATGTTTGCATAGATCGATTGTTGGTTATGCTTCTGTTGTACCCAGTATTAATGCCTAAACCATAACATGCTAATAAAGATTCTCTTAGATTTAACCTCACCCAGGAAGGTAGAAGAATTTGGTTTAGTTAACTTCACTTCACTTTTGAAAGCAGACCAAACTACATGTGTTGCCAGGTTTAGCCAGGATTCACCAGGACCGAACCCGACCCAGGTTAGACAGACCAGAGTCAGATGGGTTTTCAGAGCTACTGTGGTGTAAAAGCGCCCCTACTTGCCTACTATTATAACTATGTTTTGTAGGTTTTTATAATAATAACAATGATATGGTAGAAAGTCTCCTTATATCAGAATGAAGACATAGGCGTTTATATTACTTTGCAAAAAAACAAGTTTAGATTGTAAACACTGCCAAAGCCTGGAATTCCACCTTTCCTCCTTTTAGTGCATTTCATTTACCATAATTTTTACCTCCGTCCTTCTATTTTTGGTTGTTTTTTGCATACATTGGCCCTTTAGCTATTAATTTATACTTTTATTCATAAACCTTTTTTTTATGATTTGATAATGTGTCCATCCCCTTTATTCCTCTACTTTGCTGTGTTTTCATTCCTGGTCTATTTTCTTCATTTCATTTTTTTTATGTGCGTTTCCTTCTACACCACACTGAAACACCACCCTCTCCCCCTCCCCTCCCGGGCCTATGGCAGGCAAGTCTCTGTTGAGGCGGCAGAGAGGAAAGCTCGTGAACTCAATGTGATGTACATAGAGACCAGTGCCAAGGCTGGTTATAACGTCAAACAGGTTGGTGTCCAGCATCAGCAGATGTGTTACTGATTATTTTTTTTCAGTGCAGGTTAAATCCCCCCATAGGGCAGTGGGAAGTATCTGTGACCATGTCTTCATTGAATACTTTGAAGTGTCTCTGGTGGTTGAATGTGTTGGTCTCATTCTGCAGCGTCTTCACTTGAAGCAGAAGCTTCTTCCTCTTCCTCTCGGTCTGCCTGTGTTATAACTCCACTAACCTCTGTTACACTTTTAACTGGCAAACATGCTGAGCTCGCTATCTCTCTCTCTCTCTCTCTCCCGCTCTCTCTCGCTCTCTCTCTTTCTATCACCCTTTCTCCATCTCTCCTCTTTTTGGTCCTTTTTTTCCCTATTTTCTACCTGTGTTCCATCTCCGCTCCTTCTGCTTTTGCCTGAGCAGACAGATCACCACGGAGGGGGGCGAGCAGAGAGCTAAGGAACTGAATGTCATGTTCATTGAAACCAGCGCAAAGACTGGCTACAATGTCAAACAGGTAGAGATTCTGCTCCGTCAGGACAGTTGAACTCATCCTGCTCTTGTGTTTGCGTAAACTCTTCCTGCGTCCTTTTCTTTTTCTGGGCTCATCATGACTCATCTGGTCTTTTCTCTCCAAGTGTGTCCTTTGTTTGACTCTACAGTTTAATTGGTTGATGATTTTTTTTATGCACAGAATTTCTTTTTTTTTTTTTTTTGCAAGAAAACTGTGACTTGATTGGATTTGCTCAGTGAAGGAGCTTCTGAAAATGAACTGCAACCTTCACTTTCCTGTTGCTGCCATCACTGCTTTGAACTGCTTCTCCTGTCGTGACTGTAAAACAAACTGACAGCTTCGTGTCTGTAGGCAGGGCTAATGGAATTGAAGAAGTAGAAATTGTCGATTAACAGTCGGGCCTTATCGTTCCACATGCAGCACATGTCAAATTAATACTTTGTCTTTCTTAAAATAAAGGAGTGACCTGTTGACTGAACCCAACCAGGACAACCCTAACCCTGGAGAGAGATTACACATTTAAGAAGCGTAAAATTTGTTGAAATTTGTTTTTGTTATGTTAACAAAAAGGAGGGAGAAGCACTGAACTCAAAGAGCACCACCCCCACCATGATACAGACAGTCAATATGCTGTCAGGATGCCTAATTATATTTAGTGCCACACAAAATAATTTAAAGTGATGTAATTTTCAGGGGTTGAGTTTTTTTATATATATATACTATATTGACTATCCACATTATACCACATCATAATTATATCAACCAATAACATAAAGACTTTCTTTTATTTTGTGTTAACTCCATCTCGCCCACTTCTGTCTGACAACACTGTCCTTTATGTTCCATTCTGAGTGTATTTTCCTCTGGTTTTGTTCTGCAGTTGTTCCGTCGTGTTGCAGCTGCATTGCCAGGGATGGACAGCACACAAGAGAAGAGCAAAGAAGACAGTATCCTTTTTAAAGATTTTACTGATATTCTTAATTATTGCTGTCTGAGTCAAGACTTTTGGGTTCTTTTATAATTTTGATCAACTGGATGATTAACAGGACACTTTAACTTGGTTTTTCTTTTACAAATACAAATGCAGTGTAAACAACTGAGTTTTTGTAGGTTGACATTTTAGTGTTTTGAACTGTATGTGATTAGCATTAGTAAGTCTTTACAGTATTAGATTTTCCAGCGACAATGAGAGCAGACAAGGCACACCTGTTTGTGTTAAGCAGACAGTAGCATATTTATATTTTAGGAATTTTGAGAAATTATTTTTAAAACAAATGCATATATATATATATATATATCTCCAAAAGGGGGATGATTTTGCAGCCAGATGGTGCTACAGGAAATACAGGAAATACAGGACATACAGAAGTGAGATCTGAAGATTCCACTGTGACATTTCTTAACCCTTGTTTCTCAGTGATCGACATAAAACTGGAGAAGCAGCCAGAGATGACTGTCACCGAGAGCAGCTGCTCCTGCTAGTACACCTCACACTCACCGTCACTCCGCCTGCCTCCTCCTGACCAACAGCTTGTCTCTCAGTGGCCACTCTCCCCACCCGTGGTGCATTGCCATTGGGATGGAGGACCTCTTTTTTTTCTTCTTCTTCTTCTTTTTCTTTTTTTTTCCCTTTTCAACTCAGTGACTTTTCACCGTATCCAAATGGATGTGCATTACTGTATCGAAGCAGATTATATGGGGAAATGGGTCCATAAAGTAAACATTTAAAATATAAAGGAATAAGTTAAATAATATGTTGAGATTTCTATCCAGTTGCATGGCATTATATTAGCATCATCAATCCACATAGCTAAAACGCTAATGAGTTCTTGCACAGCTCAGAATCTCAGTGCCGTTACTGGTCGTTGTTGTAAGGTAAAACCTTTTGGGGATATTTAAATGACTCTGCCAGGTTGAGTTTTCAGCGTAATTTATTTAACTTTGTTTTTCATTGTTTTGGAAAGGCTTTTTGTTTGAACATTGATTATTTTTGGACTTTGTCTTGTTTTATTGATGAAGACACAAAATCCTACCAGTCAAGTAAATGTTATTGCCCAACAGCATAGCAGCATAGGCTCAAATTCACCCTTTTTAAAAATCCTCCACGTCTAGCACTGGTAAAGTGGTAATTAAACAGCATGTAAGTCAAATATATTTGAATAATTTGAAACGTTGCTGCAAAGTTTAAGCGAAATATCTTGTTTACTTAAAAGGGAAAAAAAATCCTAGGATAATGAGAATGGTAACTAACTTCAAAATGTCTGTATTTAAAGCTATAGTTACTGACCTTTTCTGACCTTAATCTAGCTACATACATACTAACCTGTTTGAGGAGGAGGCGATTTTTAGTCAGTAGGTGGCCAAGAGGCTGTAAAACTAACGAGGTTCATAATTTTTCCCTGTGTTGAAGGGACTTTTGAACATTACATTTCTAATCATCTCATTGATGACTTGTGTTGTGCAGCATGCTCGCTCACCATGCAGGATTTCCATGGATAATGACACAGATGCCTTGCTTGTTTGTTCACCGACGTCGTGCACTGAACCAAGCCACATTATTGTAAAGAAATGTTAGAAGCCTGCTGACTGGTTCGTGGCTTCACTCATTGTTTTTGTAGAGCTGGTAGACAAAAAGAGTCTGTCCCTCAGATACGACCAACGCTTACTAACACCCTCGCTGTAAAAAATGTGCCGAGAAGTGAGTTGCAGTTTTTTTTGTTTTGTTTTTTCCCTGTATTGCCGTTGCCTGTGTAGGACTGTTGGTTCTATGTGTTTATTTATTTTGTAACCTGGATACACAAATTACATTGTAGGCTTAACCAAAAGTACAAATGCCGGCATGCATGATAATTTCTTGTTTATTTTTAAATATGTCTGTTGGGACCCCACTGAAAAGTGATCATTTTCTTTGTCTCTGTAAAAAAAAAATATTCTTGCAGCATGTTTAGTCAGTAGTTTGGTTTTACCATCTTCACACACACACACACAGTGTAACACCAACTAACTAGCTATAGCACAACAAAAGACACTGGTCATTTGCTGTAGCTTGTGTCAACAAAAAAAAGTACATTTTAGAGCAGATTTTAATGATTTAAATATTTAATTCCATCAAAACCATTTTAACATAAACAGCTCTCCTACTGTCACTGACTAAATACTCAAGCTTTGTGCTTTTCTGAATAGTGTCTGTCCATTTGAAATATGCTGTCTACTCGTGTTTAGCAATGTTGGTGTGAATAATGTACTATTACTATCTGATGTATAAAAAGGAGAGTTAATGAAACACAAGTGTAGGCCTATCACGTGGAAGAAAATAAAAAATATTTCACCAACATGTTCAAATCTACATGTGACTTTTTTTATCCTTTATGTCAAAGGTGCCATTTAGTGATGGTGGATAATTCCACTGAGATATAAACACTTGTATTCTCTGTGTCAAGAATTGATAGTCAGAAACCTACAGTAGCAGTACTTTCTAAATACCTGCTGTGTGTGTGTGTCACACCTGAAAGAACAAACTCTTCATTCAATGTTACATCACAGTCTTACCACACCAAAGGTGTGACCAAGTATGAAGCCTAGTTTAGAGTTAAATAAACACACTTCGGCTGCTGCTTATGAATCTGGGTTTTCTCATTCACAATCGGTGTAATCGGAGAATGCTATAAAACGTGTACTTTTTAAAGTCTACGTACATCACATTATACTAATGTGTACATTTCGGTGTTATGTAGAGTTTCAGTTCAATGTAGTCATTCCCAAAGACATCGTCTCCAAGACTATTTTTCTCAAGCTTCTACAGAAGGAAAAAATATATCGCAGATTGGTTTATGTGTGCTCAATCTTTAAAAAAAATGTAAAACTTTTGCTTAATTCATCTTTTCTGGCTAAGAAATGGCTTATTCTCATAATACTACGACATATATTTTTTCAACTTTCCTCTTATAAACTTAAGCTTCAAGAAATCCTGTACGTGATTTACATGTGTAAAGTCAGGATCCTTCGACAACTATCAGAACATTTACACTCCTACAGTTACTGTGGTATCGTCAACACTGAGTAATTCACACCTGCCCACTCCAAGCAGTGTTCAGCCCATCATTGTTAGAGAAGCCGTGATTAAATCAATCCGTCCGTCCGTCCGTTCATCCATCTGTTATAAAACTATCCTCTAGTAGGCGCTACTGAGAGAACCGAACACACCCGCACCTTTCCACACACCTGTCCTGTTCTCCGGAAGTACTGTGACGTCAGAAGAGAGGCGTTTTGAAGCTAAAGAATCCAGGGAAAGAATCTCGCTCGACCTGATCAGCCATCATGAACAGAGCGCTTAAAGTTTCAGCCTCACTCCTCTGACTCACACTCAGGCCCGGCAGAATCTTCAGAGCGACACGACTTGATCTGAGCTAGATTTATTTCACGTAAGAAGAATTAGACTTTTTAATCATTTTTATTTAAGGATGTCTATTCCGAGCATTTTACCGGACGAGAAGGTGTTTGCTGAGTTCAAGGACAGGTGTCTATCAACGGACAACTGGCTGAAAAAGTACGATAAAAATGACATGCAAGTGTGGGTTGAACACGTGCCTGCAAAAAAAGGAAATTCTCCCCCTAAAATCCACACCATTAAGGTAAGACGTGTTTAATACTTTCACAAATGTGTGTGTGTGTTAAATTAAAACTTTATTATTAGCAAACCTTATCTGATGCCACTGTGTTTGTCTATCAGTGTAAAATGACCATTAAAGACGTGTCAGCCGCGTCCATGTATGATGTCCTTCATGACGGCCATTACCGTAGGAAATGGGACCCGACCATGGTGGAGAGCTACGACATCGCCCGTCTCTCTGCTAACGCAGATGTGGGCTACTACTCCTGTGAGAACCCAATGCTTTTTCTATGATGTTATCACATACCTGTCTGTTTATGTCTCCGCGGAGTCTGTCACTCACATTTTTCCTGCCACAACAAAGAACTTTTGAGGCAATTCATCTTAAAATGACACAATTTCACGTTGTAACCGTGTACATATTTAATCTTTGATTTTATTTTAGCATATTCACCACAAATCCATGGTTCAACACAATTGAATACAAAGAAGATGCAAAGGTGCACACATTAAAAATTAAAAAAGTGAATAAATGTCAAGCTTTACCGTAGTTGATTGATGGAGCATTACCAACCCTGCTTAGTATCATCACTGACCACAGTAGTGACCTCACAACATTTAACCAATGTTTACAGCAGCCTGAACCCTACAGCTGTACCCTGCTTAGTATCTAGGTGGTGCTAGTGTTACCCTGAACAAGCAGTGAGTACTGGGTATAACTACGTATTTATTTATGTTTTAACTCATTGAAAACATGCTTCACAGTGTTAAATTAAAGAAAAAAGTCTCAAGTTTAGTCAACTTTAGCAGAACTGCTATCGCTCCAACACAGAAACTTAAGCTAGCTAAAAGAAAACCAAGATGTAACACACTGCTAACAAAAAAGACAAATTATTAAAATAAATGTCAAATAAAATGGCCGAAAGAGAGAAAAAGCTAAATTGTGGCCAGAGATTTCTAAGTAAGACAGAGTAACTACATGAAAATAACAGAGGAAAACATTGCCACAAGTTAGCAATACATAATAGCTACAAGTTAGCCTACAAAAAAGTAATTTAGTAAACCAAATGCGATAAGTTGCTTAAGGGGGGGGGGGGGGTTCTTTTCAAATTTAATAATAAATGATAAAATAATTATATAAATATGTATTTTTTTTCCCACATTTCTCCCCCCTGTAGTAGGTTAAAAATGCCATAGTTTGAATATATAATATTGTAGCACAATCTAACCAGACTTTTTTCTTTTTTTTTTCTTTTCCAAAGGGAAATGCCCCAAAACAATAACCAACAGAGATGTGGTGACTCTTCGTTCCTGGCATGTGACGAATGACGAGTACATCATCGTCAATTTCTCGGTCAAACACCCGGTACGATAACCAGCACCTCCTCCTCTTCCTCCTCCTCACCTCCAGGCACATACTGTACCATTGTGCTTAAACGCCTCAAGCATGTGACACTTGGAGACAAGTTGTCCTAGTGTTGAGTGTACAGTGATATTATCTTCTTTTGTGTTGAATAATGATGATTGTGTCATAGTCTTGTTATTCTCATCTTTTTTGGGGGTTTTTTTGGTTGTTGTTACAGAAATACCCTCCGCGTCACGACCTGGTCAGAGCCGTGTCTCTCATCACAGGTTATTACATCAAATCCACCGGACCAAAGAGCTGCACTTTCTTGTATCTTTCACAGGCTGACCCCAAAGGTAGGGCCCGGATTACCCTTAGTAAGCTAACCATGTTAACTTTGTTTAAAATGCTATTGACTTTAAGGGTGTTCTCTACCAATACAGGTTACCTTCCAAAGTGGTTGGTGAACAAAGCTTCGCAAGTTCTCGCACCTAAGGTATGTTAGCTTTACACCAAAGGTGGTGTGTTTGTGTGTTTGTGTGTTCGTGTTTGGGGGTTTCATGTATCTGAAAAAGACAAAGGTAACCATAGTCTGAGTCCAGTTGCTGACAAAGTATTATCTGAGCTGCTGTGCTCTCTCACCCCCCCCCCTCTCTCTCCTGCCCTCTCCAGCTCTTCTTACCAAACTTGTTACCCAGGTTTAACACACATCTGATCGACACAAAAGTGTGTCACTAAGGTTGTACACCTGCTCTTATAGCTGAAGTTGACATTTATATCAGCAAGGTGTTGTTTGATTTACAAACAGGTGGAACTGAGGTGTTACCTGATGAATTGTTTTAGTGTAGTTAGTCAGAAATCAGATTTTTCTCATGGAATTTTTTTTTTCAGAGCTTAATTGAAATCGGTAACATCGATGTCTGCCTTTTTCATTCTGTCATCTGTTCAGAGCTTAATTGAAATCGGTAACATCAATGTCTGCCTTTTTCATTCTGTCATACAAGTTATTTTGAATGAAGAGTTAAATTAGTCACTTTATTTCTGTAAACTGTGTAAGTGCTGTTACCATCATGCCACTGTAAGACATTCAAGCACAAAATGCCTTGCTGCAGAACCAAACCAAACTGGTTTTATCTAGTTTTGCAGCACACAACAATAATTGGCACAAATCAAGTTTTGGTCATGGTCCACCATTAAAGAAGCATTTGTCTTGTCAGTGGTTCAACAACAAGGACCGGAACATCCAATCCACGAACTAACGTCTAATTAACTACTTAATTAGTCAACACTTGTTTTTTCTGACTAATTATTTTAAAAGTACTTGATATAATTCAGACGAGTTCACAGAGTTCAGCTCTGTGATATATCCTGTAATTCGTGAAGTGTGAATGTCTTTTGGGCCATTTTGGACCCAACAAGAAGTAGCTTCATTTGTCATTGCACAGATACAAACACCTGTGTATTTAACCCACCCCTGAAACAGGAGAGGTGGCAAATAGACCACAGCATGTGCCAGGATTTAAACCAGCAACTCTCTAATTATAAGTCCGGTCCTCTAACTGCTCTTGAAGGACATGGGCTTTTTTTCTTTATTCATTTGACACACAACAATCCTAACTCTAGTTCAAAGAATCCTGGTCTTGTGAAGAATGCTGAACTCCTTGGTATGGACCAAAACTAGAAAAAAAGAAAGTAGTTAGTTATATCTTGCTGAATATATAGGTCACAACATCCCAGCCTAACTAAAGCCTGTGTTGGAGGAAGTTGTGATGTATATGTACAGTCTATGGTTGGTATAGATTGTAGAATTCAGGGGAAAATGAGACATTACTTTTTTGACAGGAGGTCATAAAAGACCTGCAAAAAACACTTCATGTCATTATGGGATGTTTTCATGGCTGATGAGTCATCCTCTTCATTGTCTGTCCTTTGTCAGATTGTTAAAAAATCATGAATTAACTCAACTGACCTTGGTAAAAGAAAGTAGGAGCTTTTTTGTCAAAGCCGTGAGTGCTGCTCTTCTCATTAAACTGCAGCTCGGCTTTGAAGGTAAATGAGCTCAATCGTCATCTACTAGATTAGTAGGTAAATGAGCTCAATCGTCATCTACTTGTTTTCCTAGATTAGCGTTAGCACGGAATTAACTGTATGTGGCAGAATTGACGTAAACTATGACTGCTGCAGATCTGACACTGTATGGTATTGTAGTATTTCTTGGACTTTGTCATGATACTGCGTCACTGCAGGGCTGTAAATAGTTTTTTCCACATTCGCTGCAGCTTATGTAACTGCTGCAGCTTTATCTCCTGCTCTGTTGACTGAGATTGAAGGTGTGGTGATAATCCCTGTCTCTGTCCAATCCTGCCAGGTGTTGAAGTGTGTACACAGGGCAGGACAGAACTACCCAGAGTGGAAACAGCAGAACTCTCCTGACCAGAAGCCCTGGTTGTACCCGGAGCAGAACACACTGCCCATGATGGACCCGGCCGAGCTGTCCATACAGAGAGCAGACTCTCTGGAAAACGTGGATGAGAGTTCCAAGATGGACCCTCAGGACAGCGAGGACAGTTCGTAAATCATGCCGACGTGCACACAGGAGGGAGAAAGTGTTTTCAGAAGGAGAGAGAGGAGGATGGACTTGAGACCTCCTGCTCTGATTTAGGACCAGGCTCCTCTGACTATGTGCCAAAATCAGTGGGTGACATGTCTACAGTCGTCTTAGCTGGAGATCAGAACAGGTCCAGATGCCATTTGATCACTTATCCTGAGCTAAGCTCAAGGTTTACCTTTGTTTTCCCCCGTTTTTATTTCTTTATGGAGACTGAAGGAAAATACAGTACTATTGCTGAAAGTAGAGTGAAGTGAATTAGAATCTAAACTGTCACCACTACTGGCTAAAATCGGTTGTTTTAGTTGTTACAGTAGCTATTTATTAGTAATTAATCAATAATATAAAAACAGTAGTTTTTATTTTATTGAGACACTGGCTTTCTCGTTTCTGTTATTTTACTAATTTAAAAAAAATACAGTATAACATCCATATTTTCCCTTTTTTTAATGTAAGTTTTACATCTTTCAGTTGTGATCTGGGCAGACAGAATGAAGCCTTGTTGTGGGATTTAAAGGTTTTCACTGTTTTTCTTATATAATTATAGACTGTAGACCTGGTCATTCAAGGATGAGATCAGACGTTGATCTCTGAGAATGGAATTGTCTTAAAAATCATTGACTGCATCTAAAAAGATGAAGTAACTGAAAATGTGGAATTATGAAGGTTAGGAATACTTTTCATTAAATGTAAAATATTTATACGTAGCTTCAAATGCTAAATTCGGGAATACAATGTCTGTTTGGTGGAGCATGATCCCATTTGGTGGAAAATGGATAATAAAGCACAACAGAAATTGGTTCATATAAGCATAACTGTACGACATGAAATATCCTAACAACTTGAAGGATTTTTCTGAGTCTTCTCATTGCAGCCAGGTTGCTTCATCTACTTGATGCAGTAGGTTATAATTGTATAGAGGTGTTAAATGTACACAGCAGGTCATGCAATTTATTCTCAGGGTTTCTGAGAACTCAGATGAAGGCATGTTTAGGGAACAAAGCTGGGATGAAGCCGTGCAGGCTGAGATGGTTGGCTTTTGTCCACTGTAACATTTTCGTATGAACCATATGATACTGACTTGACTGTCTTAAGAAGGTTTTTTTAAGTAAACCTCAGTTACAAAGCTTTTGTTGTCACTGTGTTTTACCACATTCCTGTCAAGGTAGCACTCAGTTTCAAGGTAAACCATCTTGTAACTTAGAACAAGTCTGACAACTCGTATCTGAGCAAACCAGTCTGTTTGCATCTCTGTTTCAGGCTTTCCAGGTGCAGTACTGTATGTGCTGACTTTGTGCACTTGAATGGCCTTGACTTCCCTGATGTGACGATAAAAAACCTCTTAAAAAAATAGGAAGTCTTTCGGCTCTTTCTCACAGACAGATGCAGCAGGAAAGAAACAGTCTTTTTTATAATGCAGTATAGAGCATAATAGAAAGATGAACAGGATTATTAGTTTAATCTTTTAATCCATTCAGCTCAGGAGAATTATATGAAAACAAAGACATCAGCAAAATTTGGTATCTTTTAAAAAATAAAATTGCATTAAGATAAATTAAAATGTGTTAATGCACTTGGACCTCTGCTCCACTGAACATAAGACCAAAGAAATTGCTGTTTGTGTTTCATCTAAAATACTTATTTAGTTCTCAGTCGATTTTGAGTCCCAACTTTTCTTGATGCGTTTCTGGTAAAATATAAAACATCTGTCAAATAAAAGATCCATTAGTATTTAATACCATTTATATCCATAACTGCAGTAACTTCAATGTATTTCTTTATGATTTCATATGAAAATTAAGTCATAGAAGTGAGTTCAATGTATCAACTCAGAGGTAAAAAGTACATGTTGTGCACCTGGCAACATGAATTCGTACAGGATTGCTAATTTACAGAGTTTGAATAAAATATGCAGAACACTTCCATCGGAGTGATCCTTTAGATGTATAAGATGGTGGTTTGAGTGCATTCAGCATGATTGACTCAACAAATGTTTAGTGTATTAACTTAAGAGTTTAAAAATCTACATGTTGTGCACCTGGCAATGTGTATTCATACTTGGTTGCTATCTTTTTGATTAAGTTATTTGAATAAAATATACTGAAAACATCTATCAGAGTAATCAGTGCCAATGTGCACAGAAGTGCTTCTCTAAACAAAACATCTCATTAGCATTTCTGTAAATACAGGCAATGTTGACACTATACAGTTTTCATATACTTGAAACATTCATTTCATCTCTTCTTCACAGTGACGATGAGATTGAAGACGTTGAACAGAGCTGATGACGTTGACACACACTGAAGAACTGTAGATGACTTCACGTTAGTCATGCATCACTCGTCCATAAGCTAAGTCACAACGCAGACTCACGCTGTTGCCCCAAACATTTTATGGTAGGTGCTCTGCTGCCACCTAGTGTACAGTCCTCTCCTTCTGCCTTTGGTAGTCTGATTAAAAAAAAGAAAAACAGCCACAAAAACATGAGAACAATAAAAGTGCGGTCCTAATATAAACATAATCCACTGCGACACACTTCAGTGACAATGGGATCTGTCAGACAATAACCATGGCTGTGTGCAGCGTCTGTTATTACTGAACCTGCCAAGACTGTAAGTCTTCACATGCTCCATCACAAAAAGATTTATTTATTTTATTTCTTTTACATGTATTTCCACGTGTTAACTGTTCTGTCTGATACTGCTACTAAAAAACTAAGACAATGGGCAATACAACTGTTTCATATCTGCTGCCACATACTAAATGTTCGAAAAGCAATATAGGTATAATTAATTACAATTGCAATCATTCTGCTATAACAGAATGTAGTTTGTTGTTTCACACTTGTTTTTATTTGTGACTAATCCAAATGCTGGAATCACTAATACCGACAAATGTCAAAAAGATATATAAAAGTGACAACACTAACATTAATGTATCCTAGGTCTAATGAGGGACCACAACTTGCCTTTTTTTTCCACTGTTCAGTGTTAATTTGTATTTGAAACAGGTAAGGCCATTACCTGACATTTTCTCATGTAAAAGAGGATAATTTGAGCTAAACTTACTGTAAGGAAAGAAGCGAACCCTCATCAGTATTTCTCGTGCGGTCTTCAGAATTTCTACAGCCTGTGGAAAAGGAATTAATTAAAATGTAGAAAAAGTACTTAAGCCAAAAAGTAACTTAATGGTTACTGTCTTTTACAGAACACATTACTTAATTGTGCAGTTGCGGAAATGTGCTAAATACAACTAACTTAACTTTTTTTTTCATTATAACTCAGACTTACCCTTGTGTGCTCTATATCTTGGAAATCAACATCATTCACAGAGAGAACCTGGTCTCCCTCTTGTAGTCCCGCTCTGTGAGCATCTGAATCTGGGACGACCTGCCACACCATCACATAGAAAAACATCAAGACCAAAACATAAAAATAAATTAATTAAAAGAGAAACGATTTCAAAGTCTGTGGAATCCTGAAGCGACGACTAACCTTAGATATAAAAATTCCTAACTGTGATGCTTTGCCCCCGCGGATGTTAAAACCCAGCTGTGCTCCCGGGGGTTTCTTCAACACAACAGTGCGAGGCAGGAACTGAGTGAGCTCATTGTTGTAGTCTGGATGATGAATACGCTACAGATGTAGAGACCAATAATTATTTACTGACATAAAACTGTATTAACATCCAACAGAAAATTATATTTAAAAGTATTTTAGTTTGATTAAGGGACAGTAACTGAGATTTCGAAGAGATTAACACTGCACTACACAGCCATGTTCTGATAACAGCACCTAAATATGGTATTATAAAAGTTGCATACATCCTGTGGTGGAATCCAAGCAGGTGGGTTTTCATATGAAGGCAGGAAAACAACTGGAAGTTGGTAATCATCAAAAGAAATTTTCTGATCCATTATTCTGGAAAAAAAGGGAACCACTGTCAGTAAAAATAAATAAAAAATATTAAGAATAAAAAATTAAAGAAATCCCAATTAGGTCGAGTTACTGAAAGGAGAACACATTTAATTTGTTGTTAGAAGGGAAACGTATTTTTTAATTTTAAAAAAAGCACTAATCGCACATCTAAAAAAACTAATCATTGAACAGTAGCGCCGTTTCATTTGATCGCCAGGCCGTTGTGACACCAGAAATAGACATTTCAGGGCTTAATGCTAATAAAAAGTGATAGGATTTTCACAGACAATTTACGATAAGCATCAATCTAAGTACTGAAAGTACTGAAAACAAAATACAAAGGTTCTATGGTCATTACTGTTTAAATGTAGTATTATAGAGTATGTAATGTTGGATTAAAGGAAAAATGATCAACGAGCAGAGACCAAACCCAGCACTAGTTGCGCCTACGGTTTAGAGCTAGTGAGGTGTCCGTGAGAACACCGTGTTCCTACTGTACATCGCTCGAATGCTGAGGTTACTTTAAAACACTGATTCAAAATTGGACCATTAAATAGTTGCCAATAAAAGGTCCGATAGCATAACAAAAATGCAGGCTAACGCTAGGTAGCTAACTTGAAAACGGACTAAAGTTCCTCTATTCGCGCGTCCCACTATTTTGCTCTATTGCCAAAAATTGAACAGTCACGGTAAAATGTTATGGAACCCCCCGCCCCTCCCCTGGATAAAATATAATAATAATAATAATAATAAAGAAACAAACAATTTTTACCACAGGTTTTCTGCAACTGTTAGCAACAGCCACTTCCTCTGTTTACCAAAATCTTCACATCCTCAACCATTATCCCATTATCGCCCCCTACAGTCTTGGGTTGGAAATTCAGCTTTAGCTCCGCTTCAACGCAATACAAGTTCAAGTAGGTTTTTATTGTCATTTCTTTCTTTTTTTAGGGGAATAATGCTTTATTAATAACACACAGAACAACCATCATGTGGTGTATCCAGATAATAATCTGGAGTGTAGCGACAAAGGTACTTTGCAAAGTGGAGGCATTTTCCCACAGGAAAGTACCACTTCTTCAGTAGTACTTTGCCATGGTCCACATATCAATATTAACTGAAAAGGTAGAGATCAGTTGTAATCGACTCCTGGTGGTTAACCAGCATTATCAATCTGATGTATTTTCTAATTGATCCCTCATTAAGTCCCCTCTGCTTTTCTTATCCATTTCCAAAATCTGTGCAGGGGAATTTTGTTTGTTTGTTTTTTGTCACATGCCGATCTCAGCACTCCATTAATCCAGTAGTTTAAAACGCATTTCCTTGAATACTGTGGAATTCATTTGCCTCTACTTGTAAAAACATCACCTTGCCAAAATTATTCAAGCCTGAACCTGTGTTTTCATCCAGTTCCATGAAAAAATCATTGTCTTGCTTGTCCAGTATTTTATAGTAATCTCTTGTTCTAATGAGAGCTGAGTGAAACCTAATCATGTTGCAATAGTAATACTCATATCCAAAGACGTATTCAAATAGAACCTGTTTGTGTTCCTGTTCTTTTCCCGTGGTTTGTGTTTATACAACACCACCACATCTAAATTGTAAGCTAACACATCGCCTGTGTATATAGACAGAGAGATAAACTAAACACACTAAAGTCAACATGGTCATTGGTTAAAGTGCAGTAAAAAGCTTACATTTTACCAAGAAAACGATAGAGATAAAATTAGATCCACAAAGGACACCTGCACTCAAAAAGAAAATCCTTGAAGATGTCAGTGAAAACAATAATATTGTTAGCTCAAAATAACAATAATTAGCCAAAAAAGAGCAGAAATTATATGATACAATATACACTTAATGATGTAGAATTAGCAATTATTTGCAAAAATTAGTATGAAGTAAGAAAATGCTAAACAGTTAGCTTGTAAAGGCCTAGCTAGAAGTCTCAGTCAAATGTGTGAATTCATCTGACAGAAAAAACCTGAACAGTAAGTTACATGGCCTTCAAAAAGATTAAAGACCCCCAGTTTAGAAGGTCTTGCTAGTCATTTTAAATTTCAATGAAAATTTAATGGCATTGTACTGTTGATTTTCACTAAAATGTTGCAATATATAGCTACAACAACCTGTTCTTATCATTTTTGTTTTATATAAAGCGGCTGAAATATCACACTTGTTTATGTTGATATCCAGTCCTGTCCATACACGTTCTGTCAGTCTAGTATCAACGCAAATGGTTTTCTTTCTTCACTGTATGCCCCAATACACTTGATAGTTTCAACAGATTAAATTCCTTCACCTCATTCAAACTTCACATTGTAGGTATTCTCCCACCCTTTACATTTCATGAGTTTATTTTGAAAGCACAAGCTTAAACCTGTTGGAAAACCACAGCAGTGAAAGAGAGCTGCCTGGCCAAAAGACAAGTTGATAAATAAGTGTGAGCCTCCTATTGGATAATTACTGCATGGACGATTATCTTTCAACTGGCAACAGGTAATTTAACCGCAACTGATGCAATGAGTAGCTTCTTATTTCTTTAACAACCATGTTGAAAGTCACCAGTCCATAGATCACTTGGTGCCAAGCCGCAATGGGGTGCACTGAAGAAATGTACGTAATTTTACTAATTTACTTCATACAAAAAAATCCATTTACTTTCTTTATTTAATGATAATCTGGCAATATTTTAAAATAATAGGTCATTCAGACTCTGATACAAACAGAATAAAGTCTAAAAGATGTTTTATTTTGAAAATGTAATGATCCTTCAATGCTTAGAACCTTGGTATTGGTCTGTAGTAACAGATTAAAACAAAAAAGGTTGAGGACCACTGGTATGGATGTAACTACTCTGTAACAGACTAATACATGTTTCTGTAATTGATTATTATTTGATTGATTATAAAAATGTTTAATTTTCTTAGGTAAAGGAACATTTTTGCATGGACTTTACTAAATGCTTTTTAAGCTCACACAAAATGGCTTGGCGGACCACATTTGGCCCCGGGCCTTGAGTTTGACACATATGGTCTACAGTGTGTACAGCAAACCTACCACTTTATTTGTTTAACCTTTTTTGTATTTACTTGATGTATCACTTGTGATATGAAAACTATTAGCTTTTGCTCCATGGAACTGTGCAATACTTTCACTGGCTGTACTTTACTGCTTTCTTTTCATCTCCTTGGTGTTCTGTGTAATTTCTCAGTATTTTGTATTTTCACTCTGCTATTTCCTTTTGACTTATTTGACTCGTTCTTTCAATCTTTTTTACAGATGACTAGACATCCGTTTACTTTATATTACTTTACGTTTACTTTATATTACTTCTTAGTATTTTTTTATTTATTAACTTCATCATTTATTAACTACATCCACTCGTGTAATACTGCACCACACCAAACCCCGCTCCCATCACGTCAAAGGCAGAGTCGACAACATTGACATTCAAGCCACGGAGGCAGAGACAGAGGGAGGCAGAGAGAGAGAGAGAGGGAGAGAGAGGGAGAGAGAGAGAACAAAACCGCGTATTTCCCCGTGGAATCCTCCTGTGGTGAAGACGTTTGTCATTAAGAAGACATTTAAGAGAGAGTAAGTTTTATTATTTAAACATTTAAACTCAGGAACATTAACCAAACAAAAACTTAGTTCGCTGTTCTGTCTCCATATTAAACTAGATATGAGATGGAATTTGTTGATAAATGTCATCAATATTTAAAGAACACTTTTCGGCAATACATATTTCTAATTTGACGTCTTGTGTGAGTGAAGCCACGTGGGTTTGACTCTATTTTGGTTCGTAGGTTTACGCTTCATGACTAATTAACCGTTCCGTTGCTTTTATTTAACATTTACAACAACAGAAAAACTGAAATAATTGAGTAAAAGCAATAATGTGGAGGCAGTGCATTTTGAAAATAAGAGAAATTGTATTTTATTATCAAATATTTTTGCGTTGCTTTTATTTAACATTTACAACAAGAGAACAACTGAAATAATTGAGTAAACAATATCAAATATTTAATATTTAATACACGTTTTTCTGCTGGTATTTAAATTTTTATCGCATTTCGACAATGACAGCGTGAAAATGGTTTAAATGTGTTTAGAGGGAACATATTACCACATTTCTGTGCTATCGCTAAATAACGATTGAATTCATGAGGTCAGAACATCTAAATGGTTTTTTTCCCTTTTTGTAATCAATATAAAAACGTTAAGTGCCATTTGCTGCTCCCACAACAGACACCTGTTTGGTCTAATATATATGTCCTAAATTGACCCATACAAGAAATACATTTTCATCTTTTTTAAGACATGATTCATGCCAATAGCAGGGCTCCTGCAGTGCTGTGTTATAGTAGGATCCAAAACTGGGTCACTAGGACAGATTTGTTGGGTTGCAGGACGGGGCAATAACAATATTACTGTGTTGTCCTCTCGGGCTGCGAGATAATCTATGTTTGATTAACGTGTTCCTTAAAATATCTGCCACAGTCCTATTATCTGCTTCAAATCGTCACGGTCCTTTTTGTACATTACAATTTTGATTTCTGAAACATTTATCGTTCTAAATTGAAATTTGTAGGTTTGTTTTAAAAATTAAATGTGCAAACGCCGACTTTTCTTTACACAATATATATCTCTCACCATCCATCTCTGAGTCTGACTGTGAGTCCTAAGGATTAATCATTAGAGAATTAGCACAGAAGATACTGTTGAACCTGTCAATCTAACAATGAAAACTGAACTCATTTGTATCTTTACTGTAAATGTGGTTTTAAAAAAAAGCCACCTTTTTGCCACATGATCATCTAAAATTACCCACTGAGTGCAATTTAATACAATGTCAGGTGTGTGAAGTGTGCTGGTGTCTGACTTCACAGAATTATCATTAAATATACGGTGATATCCTCAAGCTGTTTGAAAGACTCATAAGAGACTCTGGAGTGTAAGGACGTGTTTCAATGATCTGTCAGTGTAAGAGAGACAGGTGATTGCTCAACATAGGGCTCCTGGTGTGGCCTGTGACGTGTTGTGTTTTAAAGAAGAATTGAAATCAAACTTAAAATAACGTAGTAAAGTAGTAGTAGAAGAAGTTAAGCAGGATAAAAGTCACACAATGTGACACAAGCTCACTTTTAACAGGAAGAACTCTGCTGCAGTTCCAGACACTGTGTTATCATCTGCCTGTGCAATATCAACAACTGTTTATCTGTCTTAACATGCTCCTATTTAGACATCCACCCCCAAATCTGTTGCTGGGATGTTATAACCCAGGGAGAGTGAGTTTGAACACAACGCTCACTGAAGGAGACAAACACTGCACTTGTGAAAAGCCCTGGCAGTACTCCAGATTAATCAAGTTAGACAGGAATCAGTTATTCATGAATCATTACCTTCATCGGGAGTTTTTGTGTTGTGCACACTGCGTTTCCTGTACGGTTTCTTTAAGGGCAACTGAAACCTGTCACACCTCCAGTCCGTGTCTTGACATGACCTCAGATTGAAGACCGCCATAGATGGGAGAATAAATAACCACAAACTTTATTGTTTGTCAACCCGGATGTCAACGTCTTTGCTTGAGTCATGTGAGTCCACAGCAGGGCATATTGCACTCAGATCACATGTAGGCAGTTTGTAAGGTGTTCTGGTGTGGATCTGCAGGTCCACATCATACTGTTGGGGACGAGAGAGAAAGAGAGAGAGAGACAGAGAGTGTGCCATTGCGTTAATCAACTTCAAAACTGAGCTTAAAGAAAATGAGTATCTTAATGGAACATGAATTCACAGGCGATGACTGATGGTCAATAACCGATTCAAGCAATTGAAGAAATTACCTGTAAAAAATTGCTTTGCTATCTTGGATTACTTGTTAGTTCCTACTTCACCCCACCCCATCCTGCCCCCACTCTCTCCCCCGTGCATGGACGTGCTTGTCACTGAGGCTGTTTGTGCTGCAAAGCCTTGAACAGTGTGACTTCACTCCCAGGCCCAAGTGTGCATTACTCTGAATACCCAATGGTGTTGGCCATTGTAAGGGCTTTCAGTGGGTATAAGGCCCCCGTTTTCCACTGAGAAGGCTATTGGGCCTCCTTTCTCTGCCTTGATAGCCAAAGAAACTCACCAATCTCTGTCTTTTGCTATCCCTCATTCTTTTTTTTTCTTCTCACGTTTATAATCCTTAGGTTCACGGGGGGGTGATTGAAATCAGGCCTGCCCGTACAAACAGTGGCGTTGTTATCTGGGCTCCCTCTGTCCCTCTTCACACTGCAGCTATCAGGTGGCCACACTGCATTGGAAAGGATCTGCTGAAGTGATGCCTCGAAAAAGCTGTGGCAGAGTTTGCTGCAGAGGCCTGTACAGCTGCCACTGGGAGACGAAACTGAGAGAAGACCATCCAGGAAAAGTAAGCATTTCTGGTCCCATTTCAGTCCCAAAAAAGTTTACAAAATAAAATGAAATAAAATAAGATTCACACTCACAAAACATTAATGTTGAATAATATAATCAAGCTATTCAGCACCTGAAGTGAAACCTAGGAAGTTGATTGGAATTAGCAGTAAAACACCAGGGGGCATTTGCTCAGTCAAAAAAAAAACACACAAACGATCAAAATGCCAGTAGTCCAAACAGAATAGAAGTTAGCTTTGTAAGCACCGCAGACGGCTATTTCTTTCTTTTTTTTCTTTAGGATGCAGGTATTAAATTGATTATGATAAGTAGAGGGGGCAGAAGACACTCAAAGAGGTGACAAATTGATGTAAATACAGTAATTGTTTTTTTTTTCAAAGTTGATCCATTTTCATTTATGTAATGTCAAAAAATCCTCAACTTACTTTATGTTCAGTAATGCTAATACTTGCTTCGTAATTACAGCGGGAAAGAGCTGTGAGCGTTACATGACCAATTTCACCACTCAGTTGAGCTGCACTTTCCCGTCATCACTAAACCTTAATAATTCCCTTTCAGCAAGGATTAACATTCATCTGACCTGAATGAGGAAATAAAGGGAATAGCCCACAAATATTTATATTTATATATTTATATTGTTGATTTTAGCATTAAAGAAATACTGAAAATAAAAATTGAGATTCAGTTGCACAAAATCAACCTGTGTGCCAGTAAAAAAAGAGACAGGTCCCAACAGGCTTATCACAGATTTATGTGAAACAGGATTATAAAAAGGTGGAGAGAATGTTGGAAAGCAGTGAGACCAGGAAGCTCCTCCTCAAGTTTCACTGTCAGGGTAGAACATGGGTCAAACAGTGAAAAATGTTGAAATTGTTCAAATTGTTATCACTTTGACATATTTCACACACGCACACACACATTGACAGATACAGATAAGGTACTTTTTTGTTTTTATTTTCATCCTTCCATCTGTGTTATTGCAGCATGCCTGCTGCGGGTTCTCAGTCGTCCTCTTGGTGTCCCTGCTTTCTCTTTGCTGGATGTACATTTGTCTGGTTACGTTCAACGACCAAGAGGATGTTAACTGGTGAGAAACCATCACAAACAGTCACATGACCAGCCCTGGAATCTAAATAACAAAAGCCCTGAATTCTTTCCTTTCTCTCCTTATGGGTGACCTCCATTCTGCTCACTTCTATTGTTTTTTTTTAGGGAGGGTTTCAAAATGCTGAAACGTTGGGTGAATTTCTTCATGTTGGGAATCATCGTTTCTGCAGTGTTGACCAGCTACTGCGTCCTGCTCCTGGTAAATACTTTGTACCATATTGTATCATCATCGTTAATTCAAAACATATTGCAATGTTTAAATTGAATCATGCACATACCACGTAGCAGGAGCTTCGGACAAATCATTGGATATAAAGGTTTTTTTCCTCGTTTCAGCTCATTGCACTGTTTCATGTTGCCATAGGAGAGAAGCTGGATTTACACTGGTTTCACATGGTATTGTACATTTTTAATCATTCTTACACATATACTCCATACTCCTTACACTGGTGCTGGTTGAAATATGAAAAAAAATCACTAAAATTCTTTCCACAGATCTTCCTGTCTCTTGGTGTTCTTTTTATAGCTTCTGGGCTCACAGGAATTAGTCTCAAGTGGAAACAAGAGTGGCCAACAGTTCCTCTTTCACTGCAGGTACAGATCTGTCCAGATGCCAACAAGGTGTCTGTGGCTTGTTAAAAACCTGCATGTGTGTTCCCACGTAATGCACACATTCATGTTAGGTTTTGATATCATGGCCAGCAACACATATTGAATTGCATCAACTCTGTATTAATCTGAAATTGCTTACTCATTTTAAATGTGAGCAATTGAGAGGCTATGTTTTAAGTTTTCTTCTTATTTTATCATTATTATTACACAAGGTATGTGCATAAATGATTTGTTGTAATTGTTTTTCATCATGTTGAACATCACAACACACCACATGTCCCTCTCTGTCACAGGCCACCGGTCCTTTCCTGCAGTTTGGTGCTGTCGTAGCTCTGACTCTGCTCAGTCCATTGGTCTTCAGGTGCTTCCTGAGGTCCAAAAATGGTAGGCACTAGATAACATAAGAGAACAGAACAACAGAACAGCAGTGCACAGACACATGGTCACTCTGACGTTTTAGATGGTTTTGTTGTTTAGGAAATTGTCGCAACCAGACGAAAATGACTAAATCTCAGTGAGTGAAAATATAAGCATTGCTAAATGACCCTTGACCTTTGAGCTCTTCAGAGAACAACCTGGTGTTATTAACAGTGAAGATCACTGCTGCAAGATTTAAAACTTAAAAATCCTTCCATAAAAAAAGGGAAATAGAAACATTCTCTTCTTTTTCTTAACTAAGACCAGTTTCCTGAAGCCATTTCCCATGTGGATGCAGGAAAATAGGATTTAAAAAAAAACAGTCCCTGGAAGTGGCTACTGACCATTTACTAAAAGACTGCTGAACTTTACCTACGCTCTGTTCAAACTGTCAGATCTGTCATCAACTTACTGCAACTCCCTTGTCATTCTGCTGTCAGCAGGGTGTAAGGTCCTCATTGCTCTCGTCTTCGTGGTGATCTCAGCAGCCATCTTCCTGTGTCCGCTGCTTATCCATTCTCCTTGTCTGCTGAGTGAATTACCTGAGAAACCAAAGCTGATTGGCCACAGAGGTGCCCCAATGGTGAGCATCATGTTTGAGCTCTGACACCGTGTAGATAAATATAATCTGTTCTTATGTGGTTGATCGACAGGTGCACTGTCACCGTAGTTACAGCAAATGTGTACAAACACAACACAGGTTTGCAAGTTTACCCTTTGTGATGAAAATTGGAACAGAAGTAGATATTGCATAT